ATTGCTGATGCACTAACATGGAACTCACAGCCAACAGCACTACACCCCAGGCCTGAATGAAACTCCTCTCACATACCCATTTTCCTTGTCAGGCACATCACAACCTTCTGGCTCTTAGGAAAACTAAACAGCACTTCAGCATTGTGCTTCAGGGCCGTTTTAAGCAGCAAAGACACCAAACCAAAAAAAAAAAAAGCACAAAAATGTGAAAAATGTGTCAAAACAGACCAGGAAAAGAATGCCTGTTTACAGTATGAGAACTGGAACAAGCAGGCAGGGACACGCTATTTTGCCTCAGCTGGGAAGAGGGGCACTGATGACTCCAATTTCCCCTGCTCTGAAGGCTTGCAAATGACCATAAAAGCACTGTAAGCATTGATTTGGGGGTTCCAAATAGATTGTAATAGATAGGCAAATTCATAAATACAGACTCCATGAACAATGGGGCTGACCCATGCATTCTCAAATGGTTTTACACTGTGAAGAACCTTGTTTAATTAACACATGGGGTCCACATGTGGAGTTCTCACCACAAGGCTCATGTGAGGACACAGCTTGGAGTTCTGGGGTTCCTCCCAATTAACCAGGATCGTTCATGTTCAGAGGACAGGGTCTCAGACTACTCACTCCTTGCACCAAGTGTTCTCCCAGTAACTGAACTGAAGCTGAGATTTTTCTTAGTCAAACTGTACAAAGGACTGACTTTATGAAACTTCTGTTGAAAGATGGATATAAAGGGGCACAAAACCTGGCTAGATAGAAAGTTGTGATTTGGGGCCAGGTAGGGTGGCTCACACCTGTAATCCCAGCACTTCGGGAGGCTAAGGCAGGTAGATCACCTGAGGTCAGAAGTTCAAAACCAGCCTGACCAACATGGTGAAACCCTGTGTCTACTAAAACTACAAAAATCAGCCGGGTATGGTGGCAGGTACCTGCTACTCAGGAGGTTGAGGCAAGAGAATTGCTTGAACCCGGGAGGTGGAAGTTGCAGTGAGCTGAGATGGCACCACTGCACTCTAGCCTGGGCAACAGAGCGAGACTCCATCTCAAAAAAAAAATTGTGATTTTCAATATTCTAGATGATCACAAAAATCAGTCCCTTCTAAGGGGATGTCTAATTTTTAAAGACAGTGAATTGAAGTCTATAGACACAACACAGCTGAAGCTTAAATATCCATTTTGTTGCCTCAAATATATTTTTGTTTCATGGAAAATGACCTTCCTTGACTGAAAACATAGGTCAGGGCTGCTGCAGCATGTGGGACCTCTCCACTGCTCCTGTCTTGGGAAGGGGAAGGAGTTTGGGGGGTCAGTTTAGGGTCTTGGCCTGAAGCCTCATTTTTGTTGCTGCTGTTGTTATGACAATAGATATCAGTATGCCTGTGTTCGTTGAAAGAAGGAAATGTAGATTAATATCCACTTACATTACAGCAGGGTTTTAAAAAAAACCACTTAATTAGAAATATTCACATTAACTCATGCTCTTAAAATGGACTTTCTTCAGCCTGGCCAATATAGTGAAACCCCATCTTTACTAAAAAGTACAAAAATTAGCCGGGAGTGCTGGCATGCACCTGTAATCCCAGCTACTCAGGGAACTGAGGAAGGAGAATCGCTGGAACCTGGGAGGTGGAGGTTGCAGTGAACCAAGATCTCGTCACTGTACTCTAGCCTGGGTGACAGAGTGAGACACCGTGTCAAAAAAAAAGAAAGAAATTGACCTGGTTCAAAAAAAAATTGAACTAGGTTCACACCAAAGCCCCTGTAAGTGCTGGCTGCCATTTCTGCTGGAAGGGCTAGGCCGCACCAGGCAGGTGTGGAGGAGACCAGCCTGGTGGGGCTCTCCCTGTTGCCGGGGAGCTATCAGGGTCTGCACACACCACAGGGCAGGAACCAGAGCAGAGAGTGGCTAGCAGGCCTGAGGAGCTCCCAGATTCCATCTGTTCCGTTGATTACCCACCCCCAGAATGGGGGCTTTAAAAGTAGTTTCTGACATACAAACACCTGCTCACACAAATAAATTGTCTGACTAATGACAGCGACTGTCCTTGACACTCTGGACATTGATGGCATGTCTCCTGGAGTTCCTGGAGATCCAGGCTTTCAGCCCAAGAGCTCACTTCCTCTCACCCTGCTAGACTCAGTGCCACCATGCTCAACTCAGGTGCTTGGTGATCCTGACATGAACACTTAAATGGAGAAACAGAGGGAGAAGTTCAAGATGTTTCCCCCAGAGGGTGCAGAAATTCCTCAATTCATTCAAAATCATCTAACTCTCTGCCCCCTTGGCACAGTATCATGCCTGGCATCACTGCCAGTGCACAGTATCTGCAGGGAAAAGGAAGGTGGTGTCCAAGTGGCTTGGAGCATGACCTGAGCTGGAAAAATACTTATATTACCGCTGTGCAAACAAAGATTTCACTTAAGGCCACCTGGAAGTCAGCAAGGAGGTAGAGGAGACCCATGCCCCTCCCATCTCACCCCACCTGCCCCAGGGTACAAGGCCCCAACTTTCAGAGATGGGCTTCTCCTAGTAGCACACAAGGGTCCAGCCCAGTATTCAGAAAGAGTGACAGTGAGTGTCCAAGCTATGCACTGACCTTGTTCCAAGGAGAATGGCCTCTGGGCTGGAAGGCTGAGATGAATGTATGGAGGGTCATGCCAAAGCATGGAGGAAGGGAAGGGAGTACCGAGCCTGCCTTGCCCTTACCAGATAAGACATAGTGATGCAAGCCTGTATTTGTGTTGATAAATATCAGTTTCCGAGTGGGTGGTCTCAGTGAGAGTTGAGAGTATTCCAAATAGATCCTGGAATTGTGTTCGTCAAGCTCAAGCAGATGAGAGACCAGCACTGGCTGATGGGCCCCTCTCTGCAGCAGGCATGCCTAGTCCTCTTCCTGAACTTCATCCACAAAACAACTGCAGTGATGCATGCACAGTCCACAGCTGCGCAGAGCCCAGGCCAAAAGCTTCCAGGACTTCCAGTCTAGATTCTCTCTCCTGCACCCTCCCTGCTTTTAAATCGTTTCTTAGTCTGCCCTGGAGTTGACAGTCAGTGGGAGGAGCACAGAGAGTGAGGCTGTAGGAAAAGAAAGAGTCAAAAGGGAGAATTTAAGAGGGGTCCTTGAATCTAGGTAATTCGTGAGCTGAGTGAAATATAGCCAGCCCCCTGTATCCTCAGGTTCCTCATCCATGGGTTCAACCAGCTGGGGATTAAAAATATTGAAAAAGCAAACAAACAACAAGAAATGGTACAACATTAAAAACTATATACTAATTGTGTTAATAGAACGTCATGAGCGGCTCAGTCAGACATAATCAAGTCCATACACGTGTGTATCCTTCCACAAGCTCAGACTTTTGCTGATGTTGTTTCAATCACAAGAGCCATGAGCTGCATGGAGTTCCCAAGGAGGCCGTTCCCCTTGGTACCACCCATTCACTCCGTGGTCAGAGCCACGAGCACACAGGCTCAAGCCACTCCCCAGGTCAGTCAATATCGAAAACCATACATCATAGTATACCTAATGAACATATCAATGTTATAGATTAAACATTCCACAACCAACAAAGTAACATTTAATATCAAGGGGAAAGGGATAGGGAAAAGGGTTAACGAAACAGTCTAGGAACAGCAATGTGCACACAGAACATCCTGGCCTGATCTGGGCGATCTGTCAGCATCTTGCAAGGAAGAGTCTTTGATGTGGGCAGAGCCTTCAGTGGCAGATGCCAGGTGCTTATCACAAATGACGGCAAGACAGCATCTGTTAAGTCAGCTGTTTCGAGCTGCTGAAGTCCTGCTCATTTTGTGGCCACAGAGTCCTCTGGTGAGGACCGACCATGGAAGAGTGTGCTTGGTTATGTCCTTGTCTGATTGAATGCAGTCTTTATTGATTAGGTGAAACACTTGGTGCCTGTTGGCACAATGCCTTTTGAAATCTAAGAAGGAGCCTTTTTCTAGGATGGAGTTATTTATGTCAAGGATGCTCTAGATGCAGGGAACAAAAGAAAACTCTGTACAATATTTTAAGGTCTATCCTGAGCCAACGTACATGACCATGGCCTGGGGAACAGTCTCAAGAGGACCTGAGAAAGTGCACCTGAAAAGGTGGGGTTACTCTCTAAGTGGGGGATTTATGTGTTACAGGTGGGTTTTAGGGATTCTTTAATTGGCGTGGGTTGAATGACTTAAGCATTGTGTACAGATGAAGTCAGCAAAAGGAATGCTTAAGTTAAGGAGGTCAGATCTCTGGCGTGCGATGCTAATTGGAAAATAGCCCCATTACACCAGGTTAATAAAACTCCCTTTAATGAGATATTACAGTTTGTAGGGCACAGCATTTACCATACATTGCCTTAGGTCGTGTTTATAATTTGGTTCTCTTATTGTGACAAGCAGTCTATTCTGTCAGTCTCATGATCTCTGTTTTAACCTCAATGCTGGTCACTTGTCCCTAAATTCCAAAGGGAGGAGGAATGATAAGGTGTGTTCAACCTCCCCTCCTGTCAGAGCTGGGACTTGAGTTTTTCAAGTTTCTCAGGAGTCACCTTGGCCAAAAGCAGGTCCATTCCGTTGGTTCAGGGGCTTAGGATCTTATTTTTAGTCCGCAGTTTAAAATCAATACAGTATAACAACTATTTACATACCATTTACATTGTATGAAGTCTTATAAGTAATGTAGAGATCAATTAAGTATATGGAAGGATGTGCAAGTACTATGTCATTTTATATAAGGGGCCTGAGCATCCGAGGATTTTGGTATCTCCAGGGGGCCCTGGAACCAATCCCCCTGGAACTGACAGCTCCAATGCTGAGAAACTAAACTGGCTTGGAAAGAGGGGAGACCCAGGACTTGAGCCTGCCGAGGAGCTGAACCCAAGGGCAAGAGCTGCAGGCAGCTGGGCTGGAGAGGAGGAAGGGGGTGGCTTGTGTACCTTCCTGGGGTGCTGCCCACTCCAGTGCCCACTTCCTAATCCCCTCTCTTCTTCCTCCTCAATCCTCTCCTGCAGGTAGTGGAGGATGAGGATCCCCCTCAGAAAGGAGGGCAGTGACTCTGGATTTGCCTAGGGCTAGGGTTAATGGCCTCTCAGCGACCTGTGCCTTTGTATCTGTTGCCCAGGCAAACACTGATTACATCAGCTTTGATTTCTCATGGGTGGGCAGCCTTGGTTGTCTGCCAGAATGAAAAGAACCTGGAACAAGGACATGGGAATCCAAATCTCGGTGAGGTCCCAGGACCACTGCATCTTTCTTCCCTGTGTCTCTCCTCCCCAGCGTAAGCACAGAAGCCTGATGGAGAAGGATTTTGCAATGTTAGAAAGAACGTTGGAAAGAACAACTGCAGCCTCTCTCCACCATTTACAGGAGTGCTAGAAGCGACAAGATGCGTGCCAGGCAGTAGGCAGGTAGACAGCAGAGCCAGACTGAAATTCACTCCTCCTGATTTGGAGTTCAGAGCTCTTCTGTGGTAATATTTTGATGAATAAAATCACGAGTTCTGTGTCTTTCAGAATTCCTTCTGGAACCTACAGCCATCCTCTGAACTTGGAGCCAGCTGACCTTTGTCCCTGGGGCAGAGACGTAGTCCATGGGCCCAATCCAGGTCCTCGAAGGGAGAGCAGGTCTGAGCCCTCGTCCTCTGAAGTGAGAAATCTCATCTCCCACAACAGACCTGCCAGGGCCCAGGAGAGCTCGACCCACCCAGGCACACCACAGCAGCAGCAATGGCTTGGGACACAGGAGTATGGAAGCAGACGTTTCAGGAGTTAATGCGGGAGGTGAAGCCATGGCACAGATGGACCCTGACGCCAGACAGAGGCCTTCTTCCCAACGTCCTGAAGCCAGGGTGGGTTCAATACCAGCAGTGGACCTCCGCCAGGTGAGGGGGAATGCAATGGCACACATTCCAGAAAATCCTTGTTCATTTCTTACTAGGTTTACCTGTTACTTTTCTTGTTCCATTCCATGCTTGCAAATTGAAGACTATGGGAAGTAAGATGCCCATCATCCAAGAAGTTTTAACTTCATTAAAGACTGTTTTTTCACTATTACAGTGAACCCCCAAATAAGAGCAGGCCTGAGCACCATTGAGAGCTGATGCCTGGGTACAGAGAAATCAGTCTGTGGGGGTGGGGACAGGGAGCAGCCAGGAAAGGAGGAAGGGCGGCTGTCGTAGCCACGGGGCAGTGCATGTGCCCCTGCCAAGGGAAACTCGTGGACCCATCATGGAGCCCCTAGGAGGAGTGACTCACAGCACAGAGGAGACTCCCTGGGGGAGGCCAGAGGAGCAGGGGGCCTGGGCAACAGGCAGCAATCCTGCCCTTCTCAACTCTGAGCTGAGAGAATCTTTTTAAAATAGAAGCCAGAAATCATCCTAAGTCTCACCCTTTCTTTTCCAGGTGGGAATGGGGAGCCCCAAGGCTTGGGAGGGTGAGGGGGGTGATTGCCCACAGTGCACAGAGGGTGAAGGCAGGGGACCCTGTCCCACCTGCTGCCCCCTCCCGGGGAGAGTCCACACAGAGGGAGCAGAGCTCTCCCACTGGCCTGTGGCTTTCCCAGGCCAGGAGCTGCCATAGGGACCACTGCACCAAAGTCTCGGTCCATTTATCTGTGGGAAGTTCGAACTCTGAGCCAGCACAGAAGCAGAGCACTGAGACCCAGGGGATGGCAGTGGACTTCTGCTCAGCAGGGCCCAGGCCCCTCTGCACTGCTGACTGTGGGTGGCTGCCACCAAGGTCCTCTTGCAGTGGTCACAGCTTCTTGGCCTCTCCCTCTCATTTCAACCTCGCATTCACCCTGTGAGGCACTGCTGGAGTCAAGGGGCAAGCCCTGGTCTAACTGATTCTTCTCAATCCCCTCCAACTCACCACCCGCAGCCTCATTTCTCTGTAACCAGGCACCAAGCCAAGGCTAAGCTCAGCTACAGTGATACATAAACCTGGTAATATCACTGATTTAACCTTACATGTGGCTTCCAAGGTCACCAAGGCAGAGGAAGAGAGAACTAGAATGTCTTACCAGGGCTTCTGTGAGCATATCTGGAAGGAACATTTATCACTGCTGGCTTCATCTCATCAGCCAACTGGTCCCAAGGCCACAACCTCACTGCAAAAGAGCTGGAAAGTGGGAGGGAGTGCATGGATAATTTGGTGAGGACTAAATGTCTCCGCCACACTTTGCAGCCCTCTGCCTCTCCCATAATTCCTCCCCTGGGTGCAGCCATGTGCTTCCCGTCTTCTCTCTCTACCTCCTAACATGTATCTGTCCAGATACCTTAGCTCAGAAAGTTGCCCCCTCGCTGCTGAGACAAGGTGTCATTCCCTTGTACCCTATCTGAAGCTGGTAGCATTCAAAATATGAAGTTTTCCAGGCTACTTCGAGCAAAGGACCTGGGTTGGAGGGGGAACACATGAAGAGAGAATTGGACACTGTGATCTCCCTGCAACACTGCAGACCGGGAACCCTGGGCGGCCAAGGGAAAGGCAAAGGCTTTTCTCTAGGAAAACCCTGGCCCCTTCAGGCTCCCACCACCAACCCATGAGTCTATAACTTAATCAACACCCATTTGTATGCATTTGTGGATTTCAGGGTTCTGAACTGAATTGGCTGCTGTTGCACTTGTGGCCTCTGTCCTATGTGAAGAAGCTTTGCTTTGTAATCAGAAGACCAGAGTCCTAGTCATGCCTTTTATACCCACTGGGTCTCTGGACAGGAGTTTCCAGAGGGTGCCTCATTCCCAAGATGAGCATGTTGGACTTAGGCAATGCCCAAGGTCCCTCCCAGCTCTGCCAGCTTGCGGTTCACTGTTTCCGTAGCAGACACTGTGGGGCATGCAGCGTGTGAGTGGCACCACAGAGACGGGAACAAGGTCTTAGTAGTTTCTTCCACCACTGAGCCACAGCCCCAGTCAGGTCATGTCTCCGTGCGTTGGTCCTTTCTTTCTCTGGCGGCGCCCTGTGATGTGGCCACATGGAGCCAGGCTGAGGCACTCTTCTGTCTCCACAGGTTCCAGTGTTCCTCCTGCTCTCGCAGTTGGAACTCTAGCCAAGTTCTGGTCCTTTTCCACATGCACTGGAGTGAGGAGAAGTCCAGGGGCCAGGTGAAGATGAGGGTGTTTACCCAGAAATGTAAGAAGTGCCCCCAACCTCTGTTTGAGGCCCCTGAGTTCACACAAGAGAACACCTCAAGATTCCTGAAAAACCTGGTCTTCCAAATTCTGAAGAAATGCTATAGAGAAAGATTTCAATTGAGAGAGGAGGTTCCTGTGATCAAGAACATCTCTCTGGAAGGGTCCCATGCTAGTGACCACTGTGAGGCATGTCTGCAGGGCTTCTGTGCTGGGCCCTTACAGGTTGTGGACCTCCCCCAATCTTGGACCCCAAGAGTATACTCCATTTACCAGGTGGAGGAGGGAATTGAGTCCTGGCCCTCAAGAGAGAATGGCTGTTCCAACGCATGCCAGAACCACACCTGTAGGAACTTAAGCATTTCCTGCTGTTGTGTCATTCTCATTGTTATCGTGATCATTGTTGTGAAAACTACTATATGAGCCTTGGAAACACAACGCCAAGTGGAAAAAAAAATCAGATGCAAAAAGTCACATGTTGTATGATTCCATTTTTGTGAAATGTCCAGAATAGGTAAATTTATTAGATGAATTGCTAGCAGCGCCTGGGGAAAGCGGGAGACAGGAAGCAACTACTTAACCCTGCTGGGGTTCCTTGTGCGGGGGGAGTGCTGGGATGCTCTGGACTGAGAGCAGGTGCGGTTGCACAGCACTGTCAATGCAGGAAACGTCACTGAACTGTTCGCTTTCAATGATTAATTTTGTGATGTGACTTTCACATCAATATTTTTTTTAAAAGACTTTTAAAATTGTGTTCACTCTCAAAAGAACCGAGTCTGAAGTGGCTGTGGTTCATAAACCATTTGGAAATCCTGTGAAGCCCTGTGGGCCCCCTCACCAGGGAATTTTGCACAGACACTCTGAGGTCAGACTGCAAAGGCATTTGCAGTCAAAAGCATTGGGGTGAAAACCTGGGTTCTCCAACACTGGTCTCCACAGAGGGAGGTGAGCAGGTCACTGAGGGGTGAGCGCAGGATGTGCCACCAGGTCTTTCTTTTTAAAGATAATATAATTAGTGTAAATTGTTGGTTAACAGGGAACTCACAGCCAGTAGCACCATAACCCAGGCCTGAAGGAAGCTTCTCTAACACACATATTCTCTCCATAAGGCACATCATGGCCTTCTCACTCGTAGGAACACCAGAAAGCACTCTACACTATGCTCAAGGGCCATTTGAAACCGCAGAATCACCAACAGAAGCACAAAAACGTGAAACACGTGGCAAAATAGATCACGAGAAGCACACTTGTTTACAGCACAAAAGCTGGAACAAACAGGCAGGAACACACAGGCCCTGCTCCGGCTCCGTTGGGAACACGGGTGCTGCTGACTCCAATTTCCCCTGCTCTGCACATGTCTGTGAATGACCACAAACAGACCGTGAGAACTGGTTTCAGCAGGTAGGGGTTACTAATAGATTTCAGCAGGTAGGGGTTACTAATAGATTTCAGCAGGTAGGGGTTACTAATAGATTTCAGCAGGTAGGGGTTACTAATAGATTTCAGCAGGTAGGGGTTACTAATAGATTTCAGCAGGTAGGGGTTGCTAATAGATTTCAGCAGGTAGGCAAAAATCACAAACAGACTCCACGAATAATGGGGCTGAGCTGCGCATTCTCAAATGGCTTTGAACTGTGAATGACTGTTTCACTAACACACGCCGTCCACACCCACAAGACTCACATGAGGGCTGCCAGCTTGGAGCTCTAGGATTCCTACCAGCTAACCAGGATTTTTCACGTTCAGAAGACGTGAAACAGGGTCTCAGAAACTATTTGCTCCTTAGACCACATCCTCCCAGTGACCGAACTGAAGCTGAGATTTTTCTTAGTAAAATTGAACAACGGATTGGCTTTCTGAAACTTCCATTGAAAGGTGGATGTCAGGGGCACAGTACTTGGCTAGATAGAATGTTCTGATTTTAAATATTCCAGATGACCATAAAAATCAATCACTTCTAAGGGGATGCCTAATTTCCAAAGAAGTAATTGAAGTCTACAGAGACAATACAGCTGAAGTCTTAACCATTTTGTTCCCTCGGATGTTTTTGTTTAGTAGAAGATGACCTTCCTCAACTGAAAAACACCAGGCAGGAGCTGCTTCTCTGTGAGACTCCCCACCATTGATATCTTGGGAGGGAAAGGATTTGAGCTCGGTTCAGGGTCGGACCAGAATCTCATTTTTGTTGCTGTTATTTTTATGACTATATATATATATATATATATATCAGTATTTTTTTATATTATTCTATTTTGAGAAGTCTTGCGCTGTCACCCAGGCCAGAGTATAGTAGCAGGATCTTGGCTCACCGCAGCTTCTGTCTCCCAGGTTCAAACAATTTTCCTGCCTCAGCCTCCCAAGCAGCGGGGATTACAGGTGCATGCCACCACACCCAGCTAATTTTTGTATTTTTAGTAGAGACAGGGTTTCACCATGTTGGCCAGGATGATCTTGATCTCCTGATCTTGTGATCTTCCTGCCTCACCCTCCCAAAGTGCTGGGATTACAGGTGTGAGCCACCGTGCCAAGCCTAAAATTTACTATTTCTTATTGCATGTGTTTATAATGTATACAAATACATTAGAATAGTGGTATGTATAAGTCCTTAGAGGATGCACGAATAACAAATATACACACATTTGGAGTGCATCCTCAATTTTTTTTAAACTTGTGCAATCAAAAACATTGGGACCCACATTGTGGGCTGGATGATCACAAAAATACTGAAAAAGAAACACTGAGGACTCCCACCCTAAAGGAGCAAATGTGGAGGTCTGTGGGCAGATTCTTACCAGGCGTATACGTCCATTCTCACGCTGCTATGAAGAAACACCTGAGACTGGGTAACTTATAAAGAAAACAGGTTTGATTGACTTACAGTTCTGCATGGCTGGAGATGCCTCAGGAAACTTGCAATCATAGTGGAAGGCACCTCTTCACAGGGTGGCAGAAGAGAGAATGAGTCCCAAGCAAAGGGGGAAAAGCTCCTTATAAAACCATCAGATCTCGTGAGAACTCACTATCACAAGAACAGCATGAAGGCCGCTATAATTCAATTACCTCCTACGACAGAGGGGGATTATGAAAACCACCATTCAAGATGAGATTTGGGTGGGCACACAGTCAAGGCTTATATCACCAGGACTCTGAAACCAAGGCAGTCTTTTGAACACATTCTGTCCTGATTAATGAAATTAATTTTTAAGACTCCTTCTCGCACCTTTTTAAATCTAGAAATGCAAATTCTTCCATTTACACAATGGATATTAGTGTAATAGTCACAGCCAATAGCTTCTTTTTACCCCATCCCCATCCCTATCCTCTTCTCATCTGCCCCTCCCCATCAACTGGAGTTGTGCCTTGCCTGCACCCTGCCACTCCCTCTGGGGCACATTGCATGCCACGTTGCCCTTCCAGAGTGTCATTCTAGTGGTTCACATCTCCCACCTGTCCCCTCAAACCACACCTACAACCATGCCTTGGATAATTTTTCTTTCCCAGTCCTGGCTTTTGCTCACAAATTCCCTCTGCCTCTTCTCAGCTACTCATGAGACCATGTCCATCTTTTAATCCCCTGCTGGAGTGCCAGTAACCCTGTGATGCCTCCTTTCATCCCCCTGGTGAGTGTTTCATTCTGCTAGTGCTGGTTGTCCATCTACATACCACCTGTTCGATTCCACCCAGCTCTAGTGCTGACTGGCTTCCTAGTGAACGAGGAGCATCTGAGGCAGGGCCTGGTTCCCCTCACCTCTCCCTGCTTCCTAACCCAGGGAGGAGCCTCTGCACAACTGTGTGAGCTAAAGGAAGGGCTGTGTGGTGAGTGAGCCTACCACATCTGGACTGAGCACTGCTGGGCTCTCTGCATGCCATCAGGCCACAAACAGCTTCGAAATGAAAATGGTGTTTTCCACTTTACCCATTTGCCATTTCTCTCCTCATGTGTATTAATGGGCGATCCTAGCTCACTCTTTGGCAAAGACACACTTGTTTCTGAAACTGAAAAAGATGTGTGTTTAATTCATGTGAAAGAATGAGTGACCAAAACTTGATAAACAAGTCAGGAAAACATGACCACAGGTGAGCCTCGCCTTAGCAGACATCACCACTGTGGTAATCAGCATATAGAGGGATGGCTCAGGGACAGGCAGCTCTGCAGAGCAGGCTGGGCAAAGGCCAAGGCCAGCTGGAGGAGGGTTCCTATGCTTGGAGAGCGGTGAGAGCAGCAGGCTGGGCCATTTGGCTTGGCTTTAGACATCATTAGGACCCACCCGAAGCTGGGGCCTACTTCACATTTGCCCTTACTCATGGGTTGTGTAGCCCATGCTGGAGAGACCATTAATCCTAGGGTGAGGTTTTCTGTGGTCTTGCCTGGAAGCCAGGGGGAGGGGGAGGCGGGGGGCGGGGGTGCGGAGGGGCGTAAAACACCAGCCCTGCCCCCATACACACTCCCTACTAGGCATTCGCTCCCATTTCTGACTTCCCAGCAGGGCATGGCTGCCAAAATACCCATGCAAGCCTTTAGCCCCCCACAGGCTGGCTTTGTTTTCCCTTAAAACAGCACATCTTGGTAATCAGCCAATGAAGGAAAAATTGAATGCAGCATTTTGAGCCTCTTCCCTTCAATTCCTTTCTTTCTGGGATTTTGCCTTTAAATTCCAGGCGCCTAGGCAGCCTCAAATTCTGACTCCTGTCTCCTCAGTTAAGTGAAATAATCACTTTCCGCTTTGTTTTATTTCCTGGGCTGCAATTCAGAAACTCTTCAAGTAAACCTGGGGCACATGGGGCCTGCCCAGCTCCTCTGGAGGACGGGCTCCTCGAAGCCTGTCCATGCTGTTGCTCTCCAGTGCTTTTCATCCTTTGTTTTCTCGGGTTTGCATCGCTTTTATAGCTCTTTTTGATAGGAAGGATCCAAACCTAGCTGCTCTGCAGTGGACAGAATCAGAAAGAATGTTGGAGTTGTTATTCCAAAATCTCAATACAATTGTTAAGTTTCTAACATACAACCAGGCTACTGCCTTCTAATATGGGAGTAGAGGTGAATACTAAGCCAGCAACTTAGAGAATGTCCTTCCTCTTGTATAAACATCACCTTCATTTTGGCAGTGCTAGCCAATAGAATTGGAGCATGTCAGTCACATGGGTAACATACATGTTTTCAGTAGCCACATGAATTTTTTTTTTTTTTGGTAGAGACAGGTCTCACTCTGTCACCAAGGCTGGTCTTTTTTTTTTTTGTCAGTCAATGAGAGCATATAACGTTGCTCGGGTTGGCCTTGAACTCATGGCCTCGCCTCCTCAAGCACCAGGACAACTGGCCGGAGCCACCATGGCCCCCAAGGCTGGTCTTAAACTCCTGGCTTCTAGCAATCCTCCTGCCTTAGCCTCATGAATTGCTGGGATTACAGGCGTAAGCCACCATGCCTGGCTAGTAGCCACATCTTAAAAAGTAAACAGAAGCAACTGAAATTAATTTTCATAAGTTATTTTATACACCACAATGTATGCAAAATATCATTTTAACATGTAATCAAATACCACAATTGTTAACTAGATATTTATTATTTTCATACTAACTCTTCGAAAGTGTATTTTACACTACTTACCGCACGATTCAGATGTTACATTTTCTTTTTTTTTCTATTTTTCTTTTTTTTTTTTTTTTGAGATGGAGTTTCGCTCTTGTTACCCAGGCTGGACTGCAATGGCGCAATCTCGGCTCACTGCAACCTCTGCCTCCTGGGTTCAGGCAATTCTCCTGCCTCAGCCTCCTGAGTAGCTGGGATTACAGGCACAGGCCACCATCCCAGCTAATTTTTTGTATTTTTAGTAGAGACAGGGTTTCACCATGTTGACCAGGATGGTCCTGATCTCTTGACCTCCTGATCCACCCACTTCAGCCTCCCAAAGTGCTGGGATTACAGGCGTGAGTCACCGCGCCCAGACAGATGTTACATTTTCATACTTGATCTGCGTTGAGAGTTCACAAAATTTGCAATTGAAAAATTAGGTTCACGCGTGCGAGTTGTTCCAAACATAATCAATGTTGTCGAATAGCTGAATAGAAAATCCATTTTAAAATTTAAATTTAACTAAAATTAAATATCACTTTCTTGGTCACACCAGCTACATTTCAAGCACTTAATAGCCATGTGTGGCTAGTGGCTGCATGGTGAGCAGCACAGATCGGGGACACTTGGATGAAGGAAATTCTGCACTTGCGGGCTCCCAGCACATCCCTGGGCTTCTTGCCTGTATCTGATTGTGCCTGTCTTCTCAGGCCCTGTGGCTGCCGGCACATTCTAGCCAGCTTCTTCCAGTGTTGGGACAAGAGTGACTTTATGTTAAATGCTAATCTGTCATCCAACTTCTGACTAACCCCGAGTCCAGGAATGCCTCCAGAACTTCTAGTTGATGTATTGCTCTTTATGTAGGAATACGTATTCATTGC